TATATATATATATATATATATATATATATATATATATATATATATATAATATTTATTTATATATTGACTTTTAAAGCAAAATGTCTAGGATGCCAATTGATGATTACAAAGTTTTTATTTTTTTCATTAGAGATGAATTTTAAAGGAACACAAATCTAATAAATTGACTACTCAACAAGGATAATAACAATAATAATTTGAGGTCATTTTATAGTTTATGTTTGAAATAAAGTAAAAAATAAAAACTCTTCCCGCATATAGTTTGAAGTTTAAAATGATTTTGGGATAAAAATTATTTAATAAATCTAAAATTTGACCAAATTTAAATGATTCAGTGTGGTGTATTATTAACTTTTAAAAGATTAAAAAAAGTTGGAAAAAATTAATTTCAAAATAAACATGATATTTTGATTAATAGGTTTCGTATAAAAGATTATTTAAAAGATTCAATAAGTTCACTTCATCGACATTTTGAAAACGAAAATAAGAAATTAAAACTATTAGACAAATTAAACTTGTAAAATCCTATATCCTACGAGTAATTAAGATTAATTACTAGTTGATAGATAAAGATTCTTTCATGCGATTTTCTTTACTCTTCTTTTCAAACACAAAAAATATACATAATCAACACAAAATCACGAGTTTAATAAAAAGATATACATAAGATTCTTCCTTGAATATGTGTAAATCATCTAATTGATTTTATGACAACATTGTCTCATAATTTTTCGCATATCATTATTATTCACATATGTTTTATTGTCTTCTTTCTTTAACGGTGTTCCTTTAAAGCTCAATACTTTCAACTATTTATAACATGGTAGAGCCATTAATAGTACAATAAAGTATAAGGTTGCGTTTGGTATAGCTATTTTACATTCACATGTCATCCTTAATATATTTAGTTTGAGTTTGATATCCACTTTAAGCAATCGTTGACACCATTAGAGTCATTTTACAAGTAGTTATAGTGCATGACATCTTTATTAATTATAATTTTATATAACTCATTTCTAATATTTAAACAAAGAAACTCGTAATATCATATATTTTTTTTCTCTTTTGACTTCCAAGTTACATTCTTACTAACATTCAATGCATATACAGATGTTACTCTAACTTGGGTAACGACTCTTTGCTTTAGTTTCTTTATTTTCTCTCTCTATCCACTTGTAGCTCAAATCTGAGTCACTCGTTTTCTGACTTCAGATAAACTTCTTTTGATGCCAAACCAAATGCTTCAACTTATTTCAGCAGTGAGCACATCATGTACGTAATATTTCAAGAGTCAAAAAAACAAAAACAAAAATTCTGATTAAATTAAATTTATTATGAAATAAAATTACAATTCGGAATGTAAAAGGATTCATCCACAGGGAGAATTTGTTACTAAAGTTCAAATTTTGTTTTTACACTGCAATGGTCTTTTAGTCTTATAGCATGTTGCAACAATACTCCAAGAAGTAGTAGACTTACTTATGCCCTGCCCAAAAGACAAAAATAAAATTAAAATACAATAAAAAGCCAAAACAGGTGATGGAAATTAATTTAACTTGGGGTTATTGGAGAAGTTTTGAAGTTTAATTTTATTTTATTTTATTTCCTCATTAATTAATAACATATCAGAAAGCACACAAACTGAGATCTCGTTCATCAAGAAATCAACTTGGAAATTTAACACGAATCCAAGACAAACATGAACAAATTAACCAAACAAATACAAAGTCGACATCACAAACATGACAAACCTCGTACTAAATACAAATATCCTAGTTGAACCATGTGGTTGCGTGATGCTAAGCATCAAGATGTATGTCTGTAATTTTGTGCAGAAGGAAAAAATGTTGTGTGGTGGATCACATGATGGAGCAAAAAGGATCAGGGCAAGAATCATAATATACTACTTGGGGAGGGCAATAAGGGGGAGGGCAATATGGGGGATAGCAATAAGGTTGATAGGGCACATAGCATTTGTGACAGGTGCACCCTTTAGGGCATGATGGAGGACTCTTATCAGAACAACAACCATTGCAGTTTGAGGTGTGGCAGTTGAAGCATAAGTCACAGTCCCCATCGCACTTGGGGTTCTCACAGTTAACACAAACGACGCAACAATCGCCATTGCAGCAGCTGCTTTTGCAGTTAAGGCAGAACATGATATCAACGTCACACTTACCGTGACAACTGGAACTGTGGCACTTTTTGCACAGAGCAGCATGCAACATCTTCTTCAGCTTCTCTTCCTTTTCCTTTCTCTTCTTCTCCTCCTCCTCCTCTTTCTTCTTCTTCTCCTCATCCTTCTTTTTCTTATCTTCCTCCACCTTTATCAGATCCTCCACCGTCACAATCACCACCGAGGAGAACTTCTTCTTCAGCTGGTTCACCAAGCAAACCATGTCCACGTTTAGGCCGCTCACCGCCACGCGGTCAATGTCGTCGCCGTCCAGGGCCACCGTAGTCACACCTGAGAGGTTTAAGATGCATACTGGATTTGAATCTAGATTTTTGGACAGTCACATGACCTAAGATATGATCATGTGTCTATGGTTTCTACCATGGAGTTGACATTTCAAATTTACACAAAATAATTCATCATATT